TGTGTGTGTGTGTGTGTGTGTGTGTGTGTGTGTGTGTGTGTGCGTGTGTGTGTGCGTATGTGTGTGCGTATGTGCGTGCACGTGTGTGTGCGTGTGCGCGCTGAAGCGTGTGACAGCTGCTTCCAAGCGGCTAGACCCAAAACACACCTGCCTACGTGACCTTTTTATACGTGTGCTCAAGACACTTCAACTTCTCACGTGCGTGCGTGCGTGCGTGCGTGGGTGCGTGCGTGCAGGTGGGAGTCTGCTGCATCTGAGGAGCTGTCCATCCCCGCTGAGCTGCAGAAGCTGTTCCTGCGCCTGCAGACGAGCAAGCAGCGCTCCGTCGAGACAACCGACATCACAAAAAGCTTTGGCTGGGAAGGCAACGAGGCCTTTCAGCAGCACGACGTGCAGGTGGGTGCGGTCACCTGTGTGCATGGGTCCTTGTGTGCATGGGTACTCGTGTGCATGGGTGCTTGGGTGCTTGGGTCCTTGTGTGCATGGGTCCTTGTGTGCATGGGTGCATGGGTGTGTGCATTTGCGCATACTTGTTTGCGTCTTTGCACACGTGCATGGCACCAATGTTCTTGGCGATGCTGGTGATGACCCATTCACTCACGCCCAACACATATTCTCACCATCCCTCCCCGCGTCAACACACACACACACACATCACACACATCTTCGTGTACACGTGTGTGACGAGACAGGAGCTGCTGCGTGTTCTGTTTGATGCGCTCGAGGAAGAGTGGCAGGACACCCCGCTGGTACGTAGCCCTGCCCTGAGTGTGCTCTTCATGCACTAGGTGGTGGGGAGAACGGCTTGCATGGGTCATGGTGGTGCAGTGTGTATGTGTATGTGTGTTTGTGTGTGTGTGCGTCTGTGTGTGTGTGTGTTTGTGTGTGTGTTTGTGTGTTTGTTTGTGTGTGTGTTTGTGTGTTTGTTTGTGTGTGTGTTTGTGTGTGTATTTGTGTGTGTATTTGTGTTTGGATGACTAAAGGGCTTGGAGGAAGCATGCGTGCTGCAACTGACGTGCTTCGTTGCATGTACATCTGTGTGCGTGCGTCTGCGTTTGTGCGTCTGTGTGTGGATGCGTGTGAATATGGCGTTCTCCCTCTCCCTCCATCTCTGTGGCGTGGTGCCTTGCAGGCGACGACGATCAAGGACCTGTATGAGGGCGAGATCCACGATTACGTGTCGTGCACAGAATGCGGCTACGAATCGGCGCGGACGGTGAGTCAGGCGGAGGTGCACAGCGCACAGGGCATTGCAGACTTGTGCACACACACACTCACACAGACACGGAGTCACAGAGACAGAGAGAGACACACACGGGCACAGATACACACGCACGCACACACACGCACGTACTCACGCCCACACACATACGCTCACTGCTTGCAACAATTCTTTCATCTCCACATCCCATGCGATCACGACAATGCCGGCCGCCCACAGGACAAGTTTATGGACGTGCCGCTTGTGATCAAGCCGTTTGGCAGCGAGAAGATCATGACCAGCGTGGAGGAGGCCATGCACAAGTTTGTTGAGGTCGAACGCATGGAGGTCAGTGCACGTGTGTGTGTGTGTGTGTGTGTAAGTGTGTAAGTGTGCAAGTGTGTAAGTGTGTAAGTGTTTGTGTGTGAGCGTAGACGTGCAAGTAAGAGACTGCATCCAGTTGCCACTGTGTGCGTGTGTATGTTTGTGGCGTCACGCAACGCGTTCACCACTGGCTGCGTGTGTGTCACATATCAGGGCGACAACCAGTACCACTGCGAGCGGTGCGACAAGAAGGTGGACGCCCTGAAGGGCCTCAAGTTCAAGAAGTTTCCTTACCTGCTTACGCTGCAGCTCAAGCGCTTTGACTTTGACTACACCACCCTGCGTCGCATCAAGCTCAACTCAAGGTGCTTGTCCATGTGCTGCCGGCTGTTCTTGCATTGGCATGCGTGCCAAAAGTCGTGTATGCTTGCGTGCATGCGTCTCTGTGTGTGTGTGTGTGTCTGTATGTGTGTCCGCGTGTATACGTATGCTTAAGTGTGGCCATTTCATAACTCTACATAGTGTTCTGGACTGTGAATTTGTTACCATTATCTTGCATCTAATCCCCCCCTCCTCCACATCAACCATCCGCACTGCCTCAGGTTTGAGTTTCCGACAGAGCTTGATGTGAGCGAATTCATGCCGGGCGCACAATCGTCACAGCAAGAGCAGCAACTACAAGAGCAGCAACAAGAGGAGCAACAGGAACAGCAGGAACAACAGCCACAGGAACAACAGCCACAGGAACAACAGGAACAGCAAGAAGAGGAACAAAACGGGGGCAATGACACCAACACAGCGCCAGGATCAGCAGCATCAGCGTCAACCACAACAGCAGCAACGGCAGCAGCGGCAGCAGGGGCGAGCGATGCGCCCGTGAATGGCGACAGCGAGATGGAGCACGAAGACGATAACAACAGCGGTGGCGACGATGATGATGATGATGGCGACACGGGCGATGGTGACATCCGTCATGACGACAAGAACCACGCCACATTATCGTCCTCCCCGCTGACGTTTGAAAAGCTAAAGAAGGAGAAAGAAGGTGGGCGAGGCCACGGTGTTTGCGTGTATGGTTATGCATGAAGGGTCGTGTTGTTTGGCCAAGTGCTTTTCTGCTGTAGTTCTTACCCCTTTCCCCTTTTCCCTGTTCCCTTCTCCTCCTGCTCTCACTTCTCCCCACCACTTGCCCGGCCACGTGTGTGCAGCCAAGCGGGCGGCTGCGGTTGCACGTGGGTGCGTGTATGAGCTCTTCAGCATCATGATCCATCGCGGCAGCGCCCTCGGCGGCCACTACTACGCCTACATCAAGTCCGTCCCGTGTCCCTTGTGCTCGTGTGTGCATGTTCGTGTGTGCATGTGCGTGTGCATGTGCGTGTGCATGTGCGTGTGCATGTGCGTGTGCATGTGCGTGTGCGTGTGCGTTGTTTGTGGTTATGTGTACGTGCGTGCGTGTGCGTGTGCATGTTTATGTGAGATTGCGTGCGCAAATGCATGTGCATGTGTGCGTGCAAGTGCACATGTGTGCATTTGTGTGCGTCTGTGCATGTGCTTGAGTCCTTGCTCATATTTCGCCCCTTCCCGTCAATGCGCGCGCTGGTGTGTGCAGGTCGCTTGACGACGGGCTGTGGCGCTGCTTCAACGACTCGAGCGTCACCGTCATCAAGGAGAAGGACATTGAGGACGCGTTTGGTGGCAGCCAAGCGGTTCGTCACAGCACTGCATGCGCAGACTGGGCAACAACGATACCGTCACAACACGACCTGCAACAACACAACCTGCGCATGCAAGACAGTATCAAACACAGTGCCTGGGAGTGGGCGATTGCGTCTTCCCGCCCGCGTCTCCGCTATTATGCGAAGCAATGCCAATGCTCATCTCAATGTGCACCGTTTGCACGCGCTGTTGTATGTGTGTATGTATGTGTGCACGCGCTGTTGTGTGTGTGTGTATGTACACATGTTTGTTTGTTTCTGGTGTCAGGCGTACGGGTGGTCGTCGACGAGTGGGTACATGCTCATGTACCGCCGCATCGACCCTCAGCGAAACCAATGTGCGTACATATCCACATGCGTCACACGACATTTACGCCTCTTGTTCTTGTTCATGCGTTGTCACCACGTGTGTCTTGTCTCTCACACACGTGTCGTCGTCTCATCCTCACGTGTGTGCACAAATGTCCTCACACGTTCGCACGTGCGCCTTGCACTTGCACAGCGTTCTCGACCTACGACGATTTGCCGCAGCAACTCAAGAACCTGAGTCAGCAAATTGAGCAACAGGAGGTGTGACGCCCTCGATCCGTGTGTGCATATGTGCATGTGTGCATGTGTGTGTGTGCATGTTGGTTTGTTCGATTTCGAGTGGTGTATGGCCATTGCTGACACGCACACACATACACACACATACACCTTCTACTGCTTCCGCCCACAGAACCAGCAGCGCGAGGACCAGCTGCGACAGGAGCGCACAATCAGGGTATGGTGACAAACATACACACATACAATAGGGCTGTTTGTAGGTCGTGCGACTTCTATTCGTCGTTGACCCTTAACGCATGCTCATCACACCTCACCTCGCACGTGCTGTTGCCCCAGTTTATGGTGTGGAACGACGCTGCGGAGAAGCAGACAGTGACAATTGAGCGAACGGAGCCCCTGTCGTCCCTCCTCAACCTCACCCTCGAGGTCTGGCAAGCGTGTCGTGTCGTGCCGTGTGTGCGTGTGTGTTGTGCATGTGCCTGCGTGCGTGCCTGCGTGCGTGCGCGTGTGTGATGTGGCTGCCTTGCTTGTCTTCCTCCTGCTCACCTGTAGCTGCGCACCCACTTACCATCTCATTCACAATCACTCTTAGGCGTTTGGGATTGACGAGGCGTCCAAATCGGAGTATCGCCTGTGCCGGTACGACATCCACCGCAAGCGCTTCCTCACCGCTCTCACGGACCTTGTACGTACCTTGCTTGCACACATGCGGGCTCGTTTTGTCTCGACGTAACATTTGTGGTGTCGTGATTTGCTGTCTTGATGTGCGTGTGTTTCCGAGTGCGCTTGTCTCCACGCCAACTTGAACCATTCACAAAAAAACACAAAGCACATGCACCCACACAGACACACAAACACACAAACACACAAACACACACACACATGCACCCACACACACACATACACGGCTGACATGTGTGAGCACGCTGCTGCTCATCGTGTTCCGTCATGCTGTCGGTGTGATAATGTTGTTGCTGTAGGACAAGCCGCTTCAGGAAATGGGATACACAAACAACTGGTCGACATTCTCCATCGGTTTGCAGCGTGCAAACAGTGACGGCACTTTTGACGAGGTGACTCGCCGGTCTACTCATTGGTCGTGCGTTGTTGTGATCGTGCGTTGTTGTGCATGCTGTGTGTGTGTGTGTGTGTGCGTGGCCCTTGTGTCACCCGCGTCTCCCTCAACATGTGCACATGTACCCCTCACGCGTCCTCTCCCCGACTGCGCCCGTCGCCACGTCACGGTGTGTGTCGCGGCGCCGCCATCATTGCCAGTACGACCCGAACGCGCTCATGCTCCTCCTCAGGCACTTTGACCAGGAGAAGAAGGAGTTTGCTCCCCCAGTTCGCGTACGTCGCAGTTGCACGCACGCACACACACACACACAGATGTGTTTGCTTGCACTTTGCTGCATGCCCTGCATTCCTGAAGCATGTTCATTGACTTCCAAAACACCCCCTCCCCTTCACGACCACCACGACCAACAACAACAACAACAACAACAACAACAACAACAACAACAACAACAACAACAACAACAACAACAACAACAACAACAACAACAACAACAACAACAACAACAACAACAACAACAACAGGTGAAGGTGCGGATGACGAGCACGCTTGATGATCTCCTGGAAGAGGCCGTCAAGATTGTCGGCGGCGACAAGGACCAGCTCACCCTAATCAAAGTGCTCACCCCTTGCATTGGCATCTCCCGTCTGTGCATGTGTGTGTGTGTGTGTGAGGTTCCTCTTTGTCTCTGTCTCTGTCTCCCCCTCTCTGCTCTGTCTCCCTGTGCCATGTGACACAATAGCCGACTTCATGTTGTCATGCCCAATCTCTCACATCTGGTCACTTTGCTTCATGTCTTGTTGTGTTTGGTCGGCGTGTTGCCAGTCGGACTACACCACCCGCACCCTCCGTCCTGGAAGCCTCTCCCAACTCAACTTTCTCGCTGGCGGCGAGACGGTGCGAGTTTCCAGTGCACGCTGGTTGCGCGCTTGTGCGTGCGTGTGTGTGTGTGTATGTGGGGGGGGGGGGGTTGGACGCGATGTGTACGTCTCTTCAAGTTTGCGTGTGGACCTTGATACCCGTGTTGCGTGCGTTGTCGCGCTCCCCTCAACGTCCACCTCACCACGTGCTGCCCTGGCTCTTTTCTCTCCGTTCCGTCGACAGATCTTCTCCACGTTTGAGGACTTTAGCGACGAGGCCGGCAAGATGTTGGACAGCGACACTGGAAAGGTGCAGTTGTTGCTTGAACTTCCTGTTGCCATGCTCAGTGTTTCCCACCGCAACCCATCCACCCCTCTTCACCCGCCGCCCCCAGTCACCAGTCACCAGTCACCAGTCACCACCTCACCTTGCATCGCCACTTGTTGGTTCTGTCCGGCCGCCACCAGGAGCTTGATCGCCGCCGTAACGAAATCCCCGTCAACATCGTCCTCGACGAAGACATTGTCAAAGGAGGTGGGAAGCGACGTGTGTGCGTGTCTGTGTCTGTGTCTGTGTGGATGTGTGTGTGTGTGTGCAAGTGTGTACAAGTGTGTGTGTGTCGTGAGGGTAATCTTCATCGCCTGGCTGACCAACCAACACACGAACCAAACCTCCGCCCCCTTCCAACCACACACACACACACAAACACACCAGGTGCAACACACTCTGTGCACGTTGACAAGCGCATGTCGCTGTACGACTTCAAGGAGAAGTATGTGCAGCCGCTGCTGGACGGATTGTCCACCGACGACTTTCTCGTCTTCCGCAAACGCGTGTACAGCGGCACGGAGCACGTCACTGAACTCACTCGCCTCAAAGGTGAGCAGTTGCAGTTGTGTGCAGATCGACAAGCGCATGAGTTTCCTCGTTTGGTTTGGTTTGTTTGTGGTGTGTGTGTGTGTGTGTGTCAAACGTGCATGCGTAATGGCTGCTTGGCTCGTCGTCAATCTGTTGTCATTGTTGTTGTCATTGTTGTGGTGGAGGAAGTTTGAGGCGGATGAAATTGCGCTCACCACTGTTTTCCCTGTTTGTCGCTGTTGGTCAGATTCCCTGGACACCAACTACATCGACACGTACCCAGATGTAAGTGCCCACTATCACAGACGCCGCCGTGTTTCATGCATGTTGCTGTTGCTTGTCCTTGGACATTTGCATCCACACACGCACACACACACACACACACACACACATACACATACACGCACGCACACACACGCACACACGCAATTCACCCTCATCCCCATCCCCACCCTGATGCATTAGGTGCTGATTCGCCGCGGAAAAGCGCTCAAGCCCGGGCAGGTCAAGACCAGCATCTACCTCTTCGACTCTGAACAGGAAGTGCGTACGCAACACGTATGCGTGATGGGCGTGTGTGAGTCGTGTCTTGTGGCATTGATCCTTTGTGCATCTGCTTTTCTACACACACGTACACACACACCACATGCACGAATGGGTGCTCGCCCTCATGGGCTCAATCTCCACTTTCCGAAAGCAGGAGGCGCCTGAGTTGTTTGAGGAATTCCCGGCGACATCAAAGGGCGACATGGCCGACTTTGCAAAGGTTTGGATTGCGGTGAATTGGGCTCGCGTCCTTGACATTGATTTGAAGTGATGATGTCGTTGCTGTAGTGTACGCAGCTCTTGTTCACACTTGCACGCACACATGTGCACGAATACAACCCCACCTTTATTCACATGCGCTCACACGCTCCCACGCACGTCCATACACTCACCACTCATCGCCCATTGCCGTGTGCAGTCTGTTGCTGACGCCGTCCGGGCGAAGAAGGAATCCGACCCCGAGTGGACCTTCAAGGACCTGTCCGACGACCCAGAGAGGTGCACAGCTGATGGGACAGAATGTGTGTGTGTATGGAGAGCGTCGTGATTGTATGCGATTGTATGTGATTGCACGTGATTGCACGTGATTTGTGAGATGAGCGCGAAGCGCGATGTTCAACAGTGAGTATGCGCAGGCAATTTCTCTTGTTCACACGCACTCAACCAACGACACATGTCCACACATGCTCGCCCTCGCCAGGTATCGCATCTGGGACGCGACGGCGTACATGCGACCGCTCAAAGTGCTGCGCAAGACCATGCAGCTTCCCATTCTGTATGCCGGCAAGTCGTTTCTGGTGCAGGTGCTCGACAAGCCAGACACGGCGCTGGACATTGACCACAAGGTTGTCTTTGCTCGGCGCTTCACGCCCTCCACCATGGACCTCGGCCCCTTGGAGGAGTTTGTGGTTGATCGTGCTGGCGGCGTGCCTGCGCTGCAAGAATCTGTCTCTGCCGCATCTGGTATTCCCGCAGAGAACCTCGAGTTTGCCTCCACGCACATCTTCCCCTTCAAGTCGGACCCGTTCTCCCTCAGAGACATGCGGTAGGGTGTGGTGTGTGTGTGTGTGTGTGTGTGTGTGTGTGTGTGTGTGTGTGGTGTGTGTGTGTGTGTGTGTGTGTGTGGTGTGTGTGTGTGCGTGTGTGTGTGTGTGTGTTGCGACAAGCGCGTTTTGCACAGCCTGCAAGCCGATTCACCTCCTCACCAACTCACCCTTCCCGCCCCCACCTTCGCTTCCGCCTTCTTTGGCTGTCGTGCCTGCATTGCCGTGCCACCAGATGGCTGGTTCCCACCGGCTTGTATCAGCTCTCCTGCTCCACAGATGGATCCGGCTTTTACTACAGAGACAAGACGTGAGTGCTGATGGTGGTGGTGTTGTTGTTGTTGTGGTGGTGGTGGTGTTGTTGTTGTGATCGTAGTTTTCCTTTGCGTGTGTGTGCGTGCGTGTGTGCGTGTGTGTGTGCGTGTGTGTGTTTTGTTGGGCTGCCGTGATGTTGCCTGCGTCGGTTGTATCTCACAGCAATGACGCCCGAGGGGGGGGGGATTCGCTGCTGCAGGGACAAGATGAAGGAGTTGACAGAAGAGGAGGAGGAGCAGCTGAAGCGGAAGTACGCGCAGAAGCAGAACAAGGTGCGAACATGGCACCACAAGGAAGTCGGCATCGTCATCAAGCGAAAGGTGAGCCATCCAATGCTGCGGTTGTGCGCTGAACCTGGTTGTCTGCGCTTGTCATCCTTGTTTTCCTTGCGGTTTCTCTCTCTCTCTCTGTGTCACGATGTACACGTCAATACTTCACACTCACTGACTCCCATTCACACACACACACACTCGCATTCACTCACACACACACACACACACACACACACACACACACACACGCACTCTCTCTCTCTCTCGCATTCACACACACTCGCATTCACTCACTCTGTGCAGAACAAGCGAACCCCCTCAAGCTCGTCCAAGGCGGAGAGCGGGGACGGTGACAACAGCAGCGACAACGGCGGCGACGAGCAGAGCAGCGCATCAGCAGGCGTGTCCATGGCATCCAGTCATAAGGACAGCACAAGCGCAAACGGTGATGGTGGTGAACAGCAGCAGTGCGCGGAGGTTGCGGTGAACGGGACCGCGGTTCCAGTTGTGGAGGACACCGGGGAGGAGAGCGACAAGACGGATGATGACCAAGTGTTCGAAGACGGTGACGGCACGAACGGCGACGATGCCGCTGAGGACGGCAGCGCGACGAGCCACGGTGCTGCCGAGGTTGATGCAGAGCCAAGCCAACACCTACAGCAATGAATCTGGGTGGTGTGGTTTGGCGCTTGGCTGTAGTTTTTGGCGGCTGGTGTTGCTGGTTGCTGCCGAAGCGTTTGCTTCCCTTTGCTGAGAGGTACGATGACTGATAATGAGTGAAGTGACCTGTGATTGATGTAGACTTGTTCCCAAATCGTGCAGGTGTGTGTGTGTGTGTTGTGTATCTCCCCAAATAAATTGATCACACAACAAGTGCGTGGTTGGCGTGCGTGCAGCGGTGGATGCGGATGCGCAAGCGGGATTGGTGAAAGGACGGTAGCTGATGGGGGAGTTTAATTGGTGGATGAACGCGTGCTGAAAACAACAACAAGTTGGCAGGATGAATGAACACATGCACTGGTGTGATGGTGCGCCAGCGGCAGAATGGAACATCCACCAACAGCACAACAAAAGCAAGGAAAAAACAAAAAACAAAAACAAAAAACAAACAACGAAACCCGAAACAGAAGCAGGGAGAGGGGAGGGGACGTGTATCGTGGATGGTGATGGTGTGCCTTCGGCTGCGGCTACACGGGGTTGTGGCAGAAGGGGCAGAAGTTGTGGCGGGAGATTTCACCCGCAGATGCGCGGTGCTTGCACTGAGGGCAGATCCAATACTGTGTGACGTGATGTGTGTGTGTGTGTGTGTGTGTGTGTGTGAACGAGCGAGTGAGTGAATATGTGCGGGCGAATGGGTGTGTGCGAATGAGTGCGGGTGATTCGATTAGATGAAAGTGGAGGCGCAAGAAAGCAGATCAGCATGTGCAAAGATGAAGGAAATGAAATGATGAGGAAACGAACCTCGAGATCAACCATGGAACGGCCAGAGGCGATTGAGGGGAGGAAGTTGAACGAGCAGCTTGCACACGATGTTGCCCTGTTGGTGGGGATGATGAGTCATGAAATGTAAGCAAGTGCACGATATCATGTCGCGGTGTCAAAGGTGAGGGGACAGAGCAAGAGTAAAATCACAACAAGCGGACAGGTCACTTGCTTCGCGACCGACATGACCATCGCCATGCATCCACACGTTCGTCATCATCATCACAACCACCCCCACCACCAGCAGCATGCATCCACACGTTCGTCATCATCACCATCATCATCACCAGCACCAGCACCATCATCATCACCAGCACCACGACCACCTCCTTCACCACCAATTGCGCACCAGTCTGGGTTCTCCTCTTCGCAGTTGGTGCAAGTGATGGTGCCGGCAGCAACGTCCTTGGGCGGGTGCTTTGAGAACAGGTCAATGGCAAGCGACTACAGCGGGGAAACATGGAGTAAGAGGAATGTGTGAGGCGCTGAGAATGATGAACGGTTGTTGGGAGAGCTGCAAGAAGAGCAAACGCTCAGGCAAAACGCAACACACACACACACGTGCAAACGCACAAACACACAAACACACACACATGCGCAAACGCACACACATACACACACGAACAAACACACACACACACACACACGCAAACGCACAAACACACAACAAAGCACAAAGCACAAAGCAAACCTCAATCTGCTGCCTGGTCTTGTCTTCCTCGGCGCCAAGGGACTCCATCTTGATAAACGCCTTTGAACAGAGCCCGTAGTTGTTGGTGGCGACAGCGGCAAGCGCAAGCACGCTGTACACCTGCAGTGGCGGCAAGATATCGTCGTAGTCTGACAGACGCACGGCCGTGCGAAGGGCCTCATTGTACATGCCCGCATACAGCTGGCGCTGGCTCAGCAGCAGGAAGTGGTACGCCTCAGCGCCGCGCCACGGGTGCTCGAGCATGCGCGCGTAGCTCTGTGCACACGCGGATACAGGTACAGGGCGCAGGATGGTTGTGGGTGTGTGAATATGAGCGAGTACGAGAGAGAATGTGAGTGTGAGTGTTAGTGTGTGCATGGGTGAGCCACGTTGAGCGCAAAGTCAAATGGTAGAGTGAAGACGTGCGTGGACACAGCTCAACATGCACTTCATGCACACATGCACACGACCAAGGAAACACCATCCCCAAACAAACATCATGCAACGTCTCAGCTTGCTATTGCGTGTGCACCTCTTCAAGAGCGTCCTCCTCCAAGAGGCCTTCGAGGACAGAGCGCGTGGGGTCCGAGCCAGAGCGCTTCGACTCAATGTACTGCTCAATCTCAAGCGCGCCGAGAATGTACAGCTGCTTGCACCTGGTGAAGATGAAGGAGATACACGCCGTGTTGGTGCGCATGTGTAGGGATGAAAGAGTGAATGAGGGTGTTGAATGAGAGAGTCTGGGCGTCTTACACGAGCCATTCGTGTCAATCAAGGTGGTTGGACAAAATGAAGGAGACACACACGCAAACACATGGACACACGCATGGAAACAGGTACAGACCTGAGCGGGTTGCCCTTTGAGGAGATCTTGTCTGCGAGCTGGAAGAGGTGCTTTGCAGCATCCAGGTGGTGCTTGGCCTGGCGGTAGAGCTGTGATGATGATGACGACGACGACGATGACGATGATGATGAAGGGGGGGGGGTTGGGAGTGAGGTTAAAATGAGCTGTAGGTGGGGCAAGGTCCGAAGCACAGGTGACGCACACAACCACAGCGCTGGCACACACCGATTCACTCCAACACGCCGTCAAGAGTGCACACATCTGCAAACACATATCCAGATGTATGAAATTGATTGTTGGTTGTTGTATTTACCTCGATGGCCTCGACAAGCTTGTCCTTGGAGAGGAGGTGGGATGCGTACTTGGCAAGGAGGGCATCAATCTCCTTGACGTTGTGCTCGTTTGCAAGCTTGACCGCCTGATCCCATTGGTTCAACTCCACGCACACGGCAATGGCACTCTTCACCTCGCCAACCTTCACGTATGCCTTCACCGCTTGCGTGCACAGGCCAACCTGTTGTTGTTGTTGTTGTTGTTGTTGTTGTTGTTGTTGTTGTTGTGAGCAAGATAACGGGCCTGCAGAGAGGTCAACAAATGTGCACGTACGCGCGCACACATACACACACAGACACAGGAGCAAACAGAAAAGAAGGTAACTCACGGATGCGAATTTCGCTGCAATGTCGCGAAGAAGCTCGTCGCCCTCTGGGAGAATGTAAATCTGTGG